CAATCACACACGCACGAAGCATATCCTCCAATATCCGAATAGTGCGCTCGGACTGTAACTTCATCTGAGGGTGAAATGCTATACTAAACTCCACACAAGTACCCAACTCACGTTGTACGACTCTCCAAAACCGTGTTATAAACTACGTCCTCGGTCAAAGATGATAGATACGGGTATGCCATGAAGCCTCATAATCTCGCGGATGTAAACCTGAGCCAGCTGCTCTAAAGAATAAGTAGTAACCACATGAATGAAATGAGCTGACTTAGTCAATATTTCCACAATCACCCAACTGCATCAAACTTCCGCTGAGTCTGTGGGAGCCCAACAACAAAAATCCATAGTGATCTGCTTCCATTTCCACTCTGGAATCTCTAACTTCTGAAGTAATCCACCCAGTCGTTGATGCTCATACTTCACCTGCTGACAATTTAGGCAACGAGCGACATATTCCACTATGTCCTTCTTCATTTGCGTCTACTAATAGTGCTGCCTCAAATCCTGATACATCTTCGCGGCACCTGGATGAATGGAGTACCACGAACTGTGAGCCTCCTGGAGGATCAACTCACGCAAACCATCTACATTAGGAACACATAGCCTGTCTTGCATCTGTAATACACTGTCATCTCCAATACTGAACTCCTTGGCATCACCGTGCTGAACCGTTTCCTTAAGGACAAGCAGATGGGGGTCATCATGCTGAAGCTCTCTGATACGATCATAAAGAGAAGACTGAGAAACCACACAAGCTAAAACTCTGCTCGACTCAGAGATATCCAATCTGACAAGCTGGTTGGCCAAGGCCTGAACATCTAAGGCTAAAGCCCTCTCTGGTACTGGTAGATATGCTAAACTGCCCAAACTCTCCGCCTTGCGACTTAAGGCATCGACCACCACATTGGCCTTCCCGGGATGATAGAGAATGGTGATGTCATAATCCTTAAGCAATTTCAACCATCTCCGCTGCCACAAATTAAGATCCTTCTATTTAAACAGATGTTGTAGACTCTGGTGATCGGTGAAAACCTCACAAGGAACACCAAACAAATAGTGTTTCCAGATCTTCAAGGCATGAACAATAGCTGCTAACTCAAGGTCGTGGATATGATAATTCTTCTCATGCACCTTTAATTGTCTAGACGCGTAGGCAATCACCCTACCTTCATGCATCAACACCGCGCCGAGACCAATCGACGCATCATAATACACCATGTAGGACCCCAATCTGGTAAGCAACACTAACACTAAGGTTGTAGTCAAAGCAGTCTTGAGCTTTTGAAAGCTCTCCTAACAGTCCTTGGTCTACCTGAATGGAGCACCCTTCTAGGTCAATCTGCTCATAGGTGATGCAATAGACGAAAAACCCTATACAAATCGACAGTAATACCCCCGCCAAGCAAAGAAAACTCCGGATCTCTATAGTTGAGGATGGTCTCGGCCAACTCTGCACTGCTTCAATCTTCTTCGGGTCTACTTTGATCCCCTCACTCGATACTCCATGACCCAAAAATACCACTGAATCTAGCCAAAATTCACACTTCGAAAATTTTGCATATAACTTATTCTCTCTCAAGGTCTGAAGCACAGTCCTCAGGTGTTGCTCATGATCCTTCCAACTCTGGGAGTACACCAGAATGTCGTCAATAAACACAATAACGAAGAAGTCAAGATAGGGCTGGAATACATTGTTCATCAAGTGCATGAGTGATGCTGGGGCGTTGGTCAGTCCAAAATATATCACAAGGAACTCGTAATGACCATACCGAGTCTTGAAAGCAGTCTTCGGGTTATCTGGCTCCCGAATCTTCAACTGATGATAGCTTGAATGCAAGTCGATCTTAGAGAACACTCTGGCACCCTGAAGTTGATCAAATAGGTCATCAATACATGGCAATGGATACATGTTCTTCACTGTAACCTTGTTCAAATATTACTTTTTCAAGATTATTGCACACAAGTCATAATTGACATTACGGACCTACTCCAACTTTCGGAATCGGAATCCGACCCCGATATCAAAAAGTTCACTACCGGTCAAACTTCCTAAAAATCATTCAATTTTTTAACTTTCGCCAATTGGCGCTAAAATGACCTAAGGACCTCTGATCCAACATCTGAACACGCTCCTAAGACCAAAATCACCCTATGGAGCTATAAGAACTGTCAAAACTCCATTCTGGAGTCGTCTTCACACAGTTCGAACTACGGTCAATTCCTATGACTTAAGGTTCTATTTTAAGGACTATGTGTCCTAATGCACTCTGAAACCGAAAATAAATCCTCCCGGCAAGTCATAAAATCCAAAAATAAAATAGAGGGAGCAATAATTAGGGGTTCGGGGCTAATATTCTCAAAACAATCGGCCGAGCCGTTACACCTATGCGTTGCAAGAATTGCGAGACTTAAACTTATGGCAGAAATAATTGCTTACTTAGATGGTTGAGAGAGTTGATGCATGAGCAATATGATAATATCACTAAAATCCATGACATAGACGCATAACACAGCATCAAATTAAAGAATGGATATCAAAACTTCCCGAAGAGAATGTCAGTAGTTCAATAGTTTGGCAATCTATAAGTTTTAAAAACATTTGTCGTGGAAGTTGAAAAGAACTTCCAAACATTGAATAGGTATAGGAATATGAAAATAAATTCTAAGGCATTGAATAGGCTGCTAAGTGGTTGTTGTAAGGAAACTATTCCATCCGTTTCTATACCCATGTACCAGATTCATTGTTGTACGACTTAATTTATCATTTCTTGAACGGTAGGTTTTTGGTATAAAGATATTAAAGAAATTGTATTTAAGTGCGGGGTAAAATAGCCATTTCGCTTTTTATGGACATTTTAGTAAATTAACTTTACCTAAAAGTCTTCACACTTATAATATAGCATGATCTATTTATGTAAAAGAAATTCATATGTTAATTACCCTTAAAAAGGGAGGATGTATAATAGTCTTAATATACTAATTACATTGAATAGACAATGACACTAATGAAGAAAACATATGGAGCATGGAAGACTTTATTTCGTTCACCTATTACATTCCTACATCATTTCTCCATTCCTTGTGTTACTTTTTCAAATAAGGAACGTCATGATTATACAAATTTTAGTTGATTTTGAATTCCTAAATATTAGAAAAAAATAATTAAATATCTATTTTTAAATATTAGGAGAACAATTAAATTACTATTTTGTCTGATAAAAAACTTATTTTTAAAGAGTAAAAAAAATAAATAATATTTCGTTGCATTAATATAATATAATATAGATATAGATATATAGATAACTAATGTTAGAGTCAATATTAAACCCTCAGATCAGAAGAAGTGAAAGAAGTGAAAACCTGTGTGAATAAATTTAATTTTTAAGAAAATGTTGAAAGAATGATCAACATTTTTGGGACTAGCTAGTCCCATCACTTTCCTGAATAATCAAATGCTTCTGGTCCCATGACATTTATAGCAACACGGTTTTACTAAAATTATTCGCAACTAGTAATAGTAAGAATGGAATATTTCAAAGTTTTCTAAAAGATCCAAAGTTGTAAAAACCAAGGGCGAAAACCATTCTTATTAAAACCTGGTGCATACAATAGGGAATTGAAAATTACATTACACAAAATGACGATTATAAATGCCATCACCAAAAACAAAAATAAGAAAAAGAAGAAAAAAAAAAGAGAAAAATAAATACTGAGGGCGAAGAAGATTAAAATTACTTGCAGTCCAATAGAGAATAGGAAAGGATTCTCATTATCTTTTAGAAAAGATCAATATTAAATGAGTGGCGCAATTAATTTTATTAATGCGTCTAGAAGTTGTGTTTTGATCCTCTTTTGCAAGATTACCATACTAGAAGAAATTGCCTTGCAAATTATAGTTTCGTATTAGAAAATTAAAAAAACCCGTGTATCATTTAATTTTTTTCTCCAAAAGAAACTAGAATTTCTATAAAGCAAGCATTGACGGACTAATAAATGAATAAGGTTGGTAATTGAAAAGTCCTGAAATTTTATGACTTTTCTATACATGCTCCTAGGAAAATCTATATTCACTTCTTTTGTTACCTTATTTTTTTCTTCATTTGCCCTAATCATTTTTTATCCCTTACCCTACTATTTTTTAATATAAAAAATTACAAAAATACATTACTTATTTGTGACAATGCAAGCTTATTCTTGCTGTTGTATAGTATTATGAAACGATATAATTTATTCAAAGGTTTTAATCATAAAAACAATATTATATTTCTGTGTTTTCTATGCTTTGGATGTTTACTGGCTGAAAGAAATGCATCATAATTTCCAGGCCAGAGTTTCAATGAGCTTAATTAATAGATCCATTCCTATTGGAAAACAAAATGTTTTGTTTAATTATATATGCCACTCAGTTTGTTTTTTTTGTTCAAACACAAATTTATTTTTTAAAAACAAAAGAAAGCATGAATCAAAATACATACTTAATATAAAGTCTTTCATAATAATCCTAATAAATTTATTCTTCCTAAACCAATTTAAGCACTCAAAAAAAAAGATGTAAAAAAGACCCAAAATAATAAAAAGAAATACTAACAAAATCAAATACTCCCTCCGTCTCATATGATCCGTGGTTACTAAAAATAGTTGTCTCAAATTGTTTGTCATTTTAGAGGTTCAAGACAAAATTAATTTTTTTTTCTTTTTTACTCTTAGTAATAATTATCCTTGAAGATTACAAACACCCCATTTATGACTGAATATTAAAAAAAAAAAATTATATCTTAAAACATAAATAACAGTAAAATAGTCAAAACCTATCATATTTAATATTTTTTTTAAAAACGTGTAAAAAAAAGACGACAAACAATTTGAGATATTAAAAGTTTTCGAGTCCAAACGAACTACGCTTTATTTATTATAACCACCTCAAACTAGAGGTTTTAAAACGTAGGGACCCGTATGGATTTATAAAAATCAGAAGAAGTAGTACATGTAGGAATGGATCAAGCATGTCGACTAACCTCTTTACATTGCAAAATCAGAAAACCAACTTGTCTCTCAAGCTAGATTTTGCACAAAATTTACTTGGTTCAATCAATAAAATTTATGAATCCTCTCGTAGCCAGAACCCAGAAGCAGATGTACTGATATAGTACCGGTTCAACTCTTCTTTCCCATGACTTTCGATATAAAATATAAATTTATATATAAAAATTTATTAGAATGTAAAATTAAACCTATAACTTTAAGATTATATTTGGGTTCAAGCTAAAAACTTAAAAGGTTGAATCAATTAAAATTTAAATTCTGAATCAGTCTCTGATTAAAGCTGAACATATACAGCGGAGGCGAGCTTCACAACTAGCTTGCCGGTGATGGTGGAGGTGGCGGTGACGGTGAAAATGATGGTGGTACCGGCGATAGTGGAGGCGGTGGTGCTAGTGCTGGTGGAAGCGGTGGTGCTTCCGGTAGCGGTGGTGCTAGTGCTGGCGGAGGAGGTGGTTCTAGTGCTGGTGGAAGTGGTGGTGCTAGTGCTGGCGGAGGTGGTGGTTCTAGTGCTGGTGGAGCAGGTAGTGGTGGTGGTAGAGCACCACGGTTTCGACGATTTCCCACGTTAGGCTTTGGTGGTGGTGGTGGTGGTGCTGGAGGCACATCACGCTTCCAATGATTTCCCACGTTAGGCTTTGGTGGTGGCGGTATTAATGTGCCTCTGCCCTTATTCCTGTCTAAACCTTTTAGCTCTCCGGCGGCCTTGACTTGAGAAACCATGTCTAGTTCATGGATGAGTAAGGACATCAGGAGACATGAAATTATATCAGGCCTCATTATTGAAATTTGGAGCTAAAGAGTGTTCTGAAAACTTAGTGAGAATTATATATGGTTGGTATGTAGAGAGAAGAAAAGGATGGAAAAATCCTAAAACACTTAAATTTAAAAGAGAGGAGGCCAGATCGGCTCATTAACTAATTTGAGCGACCAATAAGTCAGAACAATATCACATAGTAGCGGTAACCTCCCTACTAAAAATATAGTTTTTGTGCCGGACGAATTCTGTACCTTAATTTAGGGACATATTAGCGATGGACTATTTTAGTACAAAATAATTATTTTAGTACAAACAAAATAAGAATTTTCTAGCATAGATTATTTTAGTATAGAATAATTATGAATGTGAATTATGTAACAAGAAATATAAAAATTTTGTAGTATAGGATAATCATTTTAAACTAATGTGAAATTTAATATTTTTTTTATTAAAACCATTTGGGTTTTTGGGTCAAATCATATTAAGGGAGACATGGATCTAAAGTAAATATGACTCATTTAAGCTTATGTGGTATTTATTTTTGAATTTTTTTTATTGAATTTTATGCCATGTCATATTTATGGTAGGGGTTTGAGGCAAAATGATTTTTAAGTGACAATGATAAAGTTTAGTTACTTTTAAGTGACAAAAAATAGTTGAATGACTTTGATGAAATTGGAAGATAGTTCAATGACCATCAGCGAAATTAATCCTATTTCCAAAAGTCTTGAAAAATAATTTGAGGAATGAATAGTCAGTGATATGGGTAAAACAGAAAAAAATAAATATATTTCTCTAAATTTAGTAAAAGACAAGCATTATTAAGTCTTGGGATGCAAAATATCACCACCATTATTAAAAATTTCGCGTGCTTGGCTTAAATAAAGAGTCAGATTCACACATGAGAAAACTTATCGTAAATCTAACATAGATATACAGTATGAATTCGTGTCATGTCTAACTAATTAAACATTTATATCGTTGATCCAACGTGCTTGAGACGGAAACTTAGTTAATTTTGTTGGTTATTATAATATAAATATAATTTCTTAAATTTAACTTAGCTCGCTAAACTGAAATAATAAAATAAGTCATTACTTATAGCTTTTTTGGATGGTTGTTACGTATCGTTTCATAATGTATTGTATTGTATTGTACTGTATTGTATTGTATTGTATTGTTTGATGAATACAATGTTTGGATAGATTGTATCAGTTGCCGTCATTTCATGATATCACGCACCAACAATATGAAAAATAAACTTGAAATATTAGTAAAAAAAAAAAATAGGATACTGAATATTATTATATAAAAGAATAGGGTAAGGAATAAAATATGATTATTTAATAATAATGAATGGTAAGATGACAGAAAAAAAGTAAAGTAATGACGTCATCACATCAAATCCGTCGTTACATAAAGTGACACTTTCGTCGTTACGTAACTACGAATTTAACGATTTAGAAGATAACCAAATTCAACTTAGCCTGTTTCTCGCTCTAATTTTTGGATTATTACTTCGCACATGTCATTGGGTCGAAATATTGAAGAAATGAGAGGAAATCATATTAAGCATTTGCAACATAAATAAAATTTGATCAACAGAATATAAAAAAATGACCCTTAAGCCTATCTCAATTACAAAAATTAAGTGAGAATTATTCAAAATTGTGACAACTTAATTTCACATCTCCCAACCGATTTGGGGTAACTTAATTTCCCAAGAATTAAATTTCTTTTTGGTTATTCCACTTTCAACTTGTTGAATATCTTAAAGACCGCCTAATAATAAAACATTTTGATAGTCCCATCACTTTCCCGAATTACTTAAATGCTTTAACTCTTTTCTGAAAAGTTGACGGTTTGAAATTTTGAGGTTTTTGCCATTCTGCTTGTTTGATATCTGAGGTCCATATCAATATTCAAGAGGTAGGTCCCTTAAAGAAGGAAGGAAAAAGAAAAAAGAGATATACTAAGTTATGAGTTCTGATTTTAAGAAAATGATAGTTTATTAGATTTTGGGTAACTTATTTATACATATTCAATGAATTTTTTAATATAAATATAAAATTTTGATCAAAATTACCGATAATATTTCGGAAGGAGTGACCTATAATATATTCACTTCTTTTAAGGAGGTGAAGAAAGAAAAGACTAGCAGAGCGAAAACA